TAACCAGAAACTATAGCTCCTCTATTATACTGTAAAACATTTTAACTATCCACTTTCAAGACAATGTATTTGAAAACATACAAAAAGCTGCAACTACCCTAAGTTTCAGACATTATGACTTTTTATCACTTAAATAAATCGAATAGAATTAATGTGACCAAACAAACCAAGACTTACTTCAAATGTATGTTGTCTGCTATTCAAGTATAACCACACTGAATATACCAAAAAAATCTTCTAGCAAATTCACTTAGGAAAAATGTGTAGTTTTGTAGTTGGTTACTCTTCACAATAAATTCAGTGTTCCCTTTTGAAATTGTTACAGAGGGTAAGCAACTATTTTTGTGTCCTCATTTTAGATAAAAAGTGAATTTATTTGAATCCAATGTGATTGAAGCCATGTTCTGTGACATCATTTAGTACTTTTATTTCTAACTTAAAACTCTGTTAGAAATTACATGTGTTTCTGTACTTATGAATCCTTTACAATGTTTTCTTTGTATAGTTTTTTTGCTATCTTGTTTGACTATGAACATTATTACCATGACTGCTAATATTATTGAACCCACACTATCCAGATCATATAGCCCAAATGAACTCATTAAATGTATCCAGAATAAATTTGTGTATAAACTGAATTGAATCATCTAATTTACAAAGCAAACCTATGAGGTAGCTTCTATCTTATCTCAATTCTACAGATAAAGAAACTAGAAACAAAAAAAATGTAATGTCTTGCTCAAGATCTCATGCTTATAACTGATTATTTTAGTAGTGATCAAATTCTACTACCTGAAAATAGATGGTTAAAGGTTATCAAGCTCTCATCTATTAACATGAAATCATGTATATATATATATGTATGTGTGTATAATAAATCTATAAATAGATAAATATAAATGGTATATAAAATGATGTTCCCAATTTGAAAACAAGTAGGATTTCAAAAACATCAATCTCCATATTTGATTTTACAAGTCTGTAAAAACTTATTACTATTTTATAATTATATAATTGCAGTCATATCATAATACATTAAAATATTTAGTATTTTCTTTGTATTATATTTTGATTAATTTTTGCCACTTTTCTATTTTATGTAACAATATTGATATTGATTTTACTGAATAAATGCTTCTATGATGCCATGATATGAACAAAATTTTACAGAATGAAACCAAAATTCCAGTGGTCTAAATAGTAAAAGAAACAGGTTTTTGTCTTTTGTTGTTGTTGTTTTTTAACTATATTGTATTGTTATTGTAAAGATGACATATAGAGGGGATACAGTTACATAGGTCAGGCAATAAGTACCTTTCTTTTTGAATTGTGTCACTCCTTCCCTGGTTCTCTCCCACTTTTTCCCTTCCATCTCCACCCACAAGTTCATTTCCTGCATAGTGTCTAGTGGCTATCACTGCTGCATTTGTTCATCCTTTGCCCCTACTTTACTGTGTTCCCCTTACATTCCCAAAGACAAGCTAACAAGCAAGACAAAAGGAAACAATTAGCAGCAACAACAACAATAAAAAAAATCTCTTGCTTTCTTTTCTTGGAGTTCATTTTGTATGATCATAGCTGTTGAGCCTTTGGGAACTGCCCCTATGAATACCCATCCTCCTTTGGTCTCAATGTTTGAACGTCTAGACTTAAAATTTTATTTCTGGTGCTGCCACCTATGTGCTATGAAACAAGTGGCAACTATCTAGGTTGTAATTTCTTTCCTTAAATAGTAAACAATGAAAATAGTTCAGTGACAGAGCATTTGTCTGGTGTGCAAAAGCTCAGAACTTCAACCCCCCGACACACTATAAAGCAAATAGATATATAGGAGGATGATAGATAGATAGATAGATAGACAAATAGATAGATAGGTAGATAGATAGATAGATAGATAGATAGATAGATAGATAGATAGATAGATAGATAGATAGATAGATATGGTAACTATATCAAAGAAATTTTCTGAAAATCAACAGTGGGAATATAATAGATGATGTTTAGTAAATTGTGAAATGCAGTAGTGTGCTCACTATTGATAACTATGATTAGTGTTACTTCAAAGTTGCATAACAAAATATGTGTGTAAGGAGTCTTAAAAGGAATATATGACAACCTGAAAAAAATAGCACAATCCAAAATTTATGAATTGCTTTTTGAGCAAGATGAATCCTAATTAAAATAGTCAAATGCATTTTTAAAACATCTCCTGAATAAATATCACAGAGTTTAGTGCTGTTAAATGTTACAATCATGCGAGAATATAAAGAGGACTTAGGACTTATGTAAAGATGTCGTCCAGACTGTAAATGGTTTGGAATGTCTGCCTAAAGTATTTGTCCTTGATTTAAGAGGAAATTGGATTATTGGATGTTTTGTGTCCAAATATAAAAGATACACAACTTTAAAAGATTAATTTTATAATTATGTTTACAAGATTCAATTTTAAGATGAAACTAATTCTTCCTAGCATTCACAAATCTACTGAAAGAAAATTTAAGCAAAATAGGTAAATATGTATATTGTTTTGATTTTAGTTTCTCAAAATAAGCTAAGTTCACAAAGCAAATTGTCTTTAAAAATCCTCTAAAATGTAAACAGTTTTGCTAAAATGACTTCTGAATTCCCACCTTTGATCATTTAACTTTGAAAAAGTACTTACATAAATTCACATTGGTGAATCACAATGTTTTGATTAAGTGTTACATATTTATGCATTTACCAGCATTTTAGGAATATGACTAAATCTATTTGAAAATTGAATATTGATTAAACCCTTACTGAACTGATTTAATTCTCACAGTGGCCAGCAATACAAACAAATTCTAAAATATAAATATGCAAGTTTAAAAACTTAATCATTATGGGAAATGATATGGATAGTGTTTTACTGCTACCATTATGGAACATAACTAGCACAAATGAATGACAGTGGCTGAAAAGGGTCCTATGGCATAAAAATGGAAACAGTAAAAGAGATTATTTGAAACTATTTAGAAAAAAAAGTAACTAAAGCAGTGCTCCAAACTAGAAAATGAACAATAAGATATTTGCACAAAGTAACAAAGTGATATTCAGGCAAAGCTGTACTTGGACCATCATCAAACTATAATAGAACAAGAGATATCTTAAGACCAACAAGCCAGAATGAACAAGCCTTTGAATTAAACTCACAGTGACCACATGAGGTTAAAAAAAATGCTTTTTAATAGCTTTCAAGATGTATAGTTCATATTGGTATGCTTAAAGAAATTCACTTTAATGGGCTACTGCTTTGTGAAAAATCATTCTGGGTTGCCTCTTTATGACTAATGAGATTACATCTAAATTTAGCTATGCAATGAAACTGAATCCCACATATTAAATAATAACTGGCATCTATTGGCACATTTAGGAATAAACTTGTTAATATACGCAATCTCTGGTAGGTGCAATATGACAATTTATTCTGCATATATTAAAAGATCAGCTGCCTATGTGAATTACTGTGAGTTTAAGCATACTGTATATTGGTTTCAATAAGGAAAATTATCTGTTTAAACCGGTAGATTCCTAACACAACAAGTTATAATATGTTTTTAAGGCCTCTGACCCTAAAAAATAATACACCAGAAGTGGGCTTAACTGGTAATGAAACATAATGTGGACACTAAAAGAAAACAAGAATGTCTTAGTTAACAGCTGTAGCCTGCTGTGCTCAGTCTCTCTACCCTGTTGCTTCTCACTTAAACATAGAAAATGAATGATGCTTGTAAAAATAGTTCTGTTTAGATGGCAGTAGATAAACTTCCCTGTTACCAGCCAAGTATCAAGAACTTGCTAGATGGCATTTCTGTTGCCAATTACGCATGATAACTTTGGTCTTCAATTAAGATTTTTTATTTTTTCTGATTTGAAGGTCATCAATGTTGATGTAAAGCAAAATTCTCAAGCTTGTCTGGCAATAGAAACCAATCACTCAAAGTCACATTATCTCAACAGAGAGGTAAAGAAGTTTCTGCACAGAAGGAAAGGTTAATTTTGAAGCTTCTGTCTGCAGTTTCTAATGAACTCAAAGGAAGAAATAAAGTCAACTTTATAACATTAAATAAAAAGATTTCTGATAGACATAGATGGTAAATATGAGATTTCAATTTGGACCTTCTTGTTGGGAACAATTAAACACAAACTATCTAAATTGCTTAGTAATTCACTGTATTGTTACATATCTTAATGCGAATGGTTTCTTATTCTTATTTTTATTCTGTGACTATCTCCATTCCAAACAACATGTTGTAAAGCCAATGTGGCAGCTCATACCTGTTTTCCTAGTACTTTGAGGCTGAGGAAAGAGGAGTGAGTTCAAGGCCATTTTGGTACATAGTGAAACCCTACCTCAAAAATAATAAAGTAATAAAGCAACTGAGCTTTTGTCCTACATGACAAATAGCTCAATTGATTTATTCTCTCTTTTCCATGAAACTAATGTCAAAACAGGTATTACTATGGTGGTAACTATGACCAACATCCATAAATTGCTGTTGACTTACTGCTAACAGTTTCTCTAAATTCCTGGTCAATGCAATTCTATAAAATACTTGTTTGTTTTTAATAGAACTTGCTGGCAATAGCAGACCATAACAGACCTAGCAGACTAGGAGCTTTGGCTATAAACTTGTCCTTCTTTCTCTCATGCCTGACACATGATTTACCTCTCTATTCATTATTTTTTAGAATATCACTTCTTCTTGGCCCTAAGGCATTAACAAAGGAGAGGGAAACTTATGCATTGTGAAGTCAAAAATTATCTAATAATCAGAATTTTGAATTCAGTCCTGGTGACACAACTGTTATGGTTTGAATCTACAATGCCCTCCAGAAGCTTAGCGTGAAACACTTTGTTGACAACTAATGGAAGCTTTTGGAAGTGAGTGAATCATGAGGACTCTGACATAATCAATGATTAATCCACTGATGGACTCACAATTTGATAACATCACTGAAGATGGTAAGAACTAGACATGGGTCCTGATGGCAAGAAACAGGCCACTGCAGACCTGCCTTTGAAGGATGAATCTTCTCCTAAACCTGTTTCCACCCCCACTTCTCTTCCATCCTCCCTTTCTCATGGCTACCACAAGGAGAGAATCTCTGCAGTACCACGCCCTTCTGGCAGTAGAAGCAGCTGACCCTAGACTGTAACCTCTAAAACAGGCAAAGAAAATATTTCCATCTTTAAACTGCTGTAATTGTTTTCCACAGCAATGAAATTTCCAAAGAATGTAGTAACAAGCAAAAGTAAATTCCTTTGTATGTCTTCGTTTTTCTTCAAATGTAGATGCAGAAGTCAGATATTATATTCTCTGAAGTTCTTCTGATTATATAATGTTATTCTAACTTTGTGCGAATGGGTGATATAGACCAGCCCTACATTACCGAAGAAATGCTGAGAATGGCAATGTTTTCAGCCCTCTTCTCCATCTTACTTTTTTTCTAAGTGATGTCATTCATGCCCACAAATTAAAATCTAAATCATGCTATACTTGCCCAAATTTTTTTGTTTGAGAGCCTTTCCAGAACTCTAAGCTATTTGTCACTATTTCTCTATTCAGATTTTAATAGGGTGTAATCACAATGTCAAACTCAACATGTCCACAAGAAACCATTGCTTTCCGTCAGCCGAACAAGAGTTTCTCCCCAAAGTTTATTTCACTTCATGACACAATTAACCCAATTGCTTCAAGCCTACAAGCTTAGAAGTTATATTTTGTTTCCTTGTTTTTTCCTAACTTTGGAAAAACAGCCCATTTATATTGATATTATTCCAACACATACCTGGCATCTCATTCTTTTAGAAATATTACTTTTAGCTGCTCATGTTTTTGGCATATTCCTCTACATTAGCTTCTTAAATATTTTTACTATTTTTCCTTTGTAGTTCATTCTTCTATGGCAACAAGCAGGACCAATTTTAAATTGCTTAAAATAATTTTATACACTTAAAAAAACTTCCATTGGCTTCCAATTTTCAATAAAATAAGATCTAGCTTCTTAGCGTGGCCTACAAGTCCTTTTACATTAGCAAGTACTCATTTTTTACTTTTTACTTTTTCTTTTGTTCAATCTCCGATGCTCTCTGAACTTTCTCTCCCATGTTGGATCCATTTTGATTGCTCTTTAACTTGTCTGGAATGTTCTCCCAGATTTCTGTATGATTGCATCCTTTTTACTAGTTGGGTATAAGTTTAGTTTTATCTCAGAGAAATTTCTCAGATTCCTCACATCTTCCAAACCAGTCACTCACTGTAGCACACACTTTAAGTTGCATATTCTACAGTCATTGTTCTTTGAATACAGATCTGGGTATTAATCATATTCCAAGCAGAGCACACACTTCCAAGGGAGGCTGGACCCTTCCCAGCTCCCAAAGAATGACCCCTGATTGTTTTACAGTAGGCAGATTAGTTCAGATCATTTTCTACTGATTAAGTTAGGCATAAGTTTTCCACACAACTGACAAGGTTTAATGGGGATAGACATCAGGGAACAGAAAATGGTAGATAACTCATAACTCTTAAAAAGAACACCTACTTTGGCCAGACACCAGTGGCTCATGTCTGTAATCCTAGCTATTCAGGAAGCTGAGAGCTGAGGATTACAGTTTGGAGCCTTCTGGGGCAGGAAAGTCTGTGAGACTCGTATCTCCAATTATTTACCAAATAAAATAAAATAAAACCCAGAAATAGAGCTGTGCCTTGAGCGGTAGAATGCTAACCTTGCACAAAGAAGCTGAGACAGTATATAGATCCTAAATTCAAGCTACAGGACATGAGCATGCGCACGAATGCACACACGCGTACACATGCACACATGCACATATGCACATATGCACATGCACCTAGTATAGACTAACCCAGTATATTATTGTCTCTCTAGGTTATTTTGGAGTCCTTATACTTTCCAGGCCAAAAAGACTGACATCAATATGCTAAAAATGGCAAAAATAAAATCTGTAAGTGAATAGGTAGATGTGCTCTTGAATTTATCATTCTGAGGCATTTTTTGAAACAACTAGGGCATCCTCTCCCTCCCTACCCCCACCTCCCTGATAATGGCAATTTACACTCCTTCTGCAAAGAACCTTAGAATTCAGAGACTCCAGGTTATAGTTCTAATTTTTTGTTTGATTTCCTTAGACCCAAATTAGTTTTTATGCAAAGAACATTTTCAGCATCTCACTTCATGTGATGTGAAATAGTAAATATCTTAATCTAGGTTTTTCCTATAAGTTGAAGTACAAAGAATCTTCACCTTATATCCACTATCTCATTGCCCTATTTTTCCCAAGAATTTCCTTAGTGAGGTCAGAGATGTCGACTGTGTTGTACATCCTTGTATCTATGGAAACTGGAGTAGTGCATTGGGCTTCGCAGGTCAAAAGACATTGTTCTATTAATTAGTAAATGGGTAAGGAAAAAAATCAGTGGACTAACGAGCTTCTATAATATATTAAAAGGAATTTAAAATGTTTTCATGCACCTTCAGACATGCAATAGCTGAATCTTTCATCTTTCTATTCTATATAATCTTCCCCCAATCTACAATTTTCTTTGTAGAAGATTTCAGCTATTAAAGAAAACAAAATAAGTTAACTATTTAGCTTTTGGGGGGATTTTTGTTATTTGTTTGCTTGCTTGCTTTAGTGTCTTGCAAGTCAGTCATCTAAAATTCAAGACAATTTCAAAAAAGAAAAGGGCCTTATAAATTACTCAAACTTTAATTACCATGCTAAACTCTTACCTGGTTCCCAGGTCTGAATCAAAGATTAAGAAAGTAAGCCTTAGCTGGACACTGGTGGCTCATGCCTGTAATCCTAGCTACTCAGAAGGCTGAGATATGAGGAGCATGGTTCAAAGCCAGCCCAGGGAAAGTTCATGACACTTTTATCTCCAATTGACCACCAAAAAACTGGAAGAGGTGCTGTGGTTCAATATGGTACAGTGCTATCCTTGAGTAGAACAGCTCAGGGACAGTACCTAGCTCCTAAATTCAAGCCCTATGGCCCACAAAAGAAGAAGAAGAAGAAGAAGGAGGAGGAGGAGGAGGAGGAGGAGGAGGAGGAAAAAGAAAGTACGTGAGTCTTCTCATGTGTTGAGGAAAATAAATAATACATTAGGGATGTTTCTGGGACAGAGACTGTGAAGGGATGATGCAAAAGAAAGCCTTGTCATGTGATCCTTCCAAGCACCAAACCTAGAACCTCAGAACAACTCAAAAATGGTGTCAAGTGTATATAATTAAATATTTTCACAATACCGAAATGAAGAGCTTTACATGTTAGCAGGATGCCACATAGAGCATCAAATAACTTGGTAAGAGGAGCCACCACTCAAGCATAATAACTAGGACCCAGAGACAAACATGTCAACCTGAAATGTACTCTAACTTTAGGATTGAAATGTATATCTCTAATCCAGACCACATCTCTGATGTCTAATAAATATATCTAATAGGTTGTTCAGTATGCAACTTGGGTGACAACTTAAAATTTTTAAATTTGCATACTTCTCCATGACTAGCATTCCAACATAGAAATTTTGTTCTATTGTTTATTTACTTCCTCCTCCTTTGCCTTTTTCAAACTCAATATATGTCCATTTCACCTACTGGTTCAGCTCATTCTTAGATTGCTGATCAATTTCAGCCAGTTTGAATGCAGGCACAATCTGATTGCTTTCTAGCCACTCCAATATAACCACTACAAGCCATTCTTATGTCTTGTCTGGACTTTGATTCTCTTCTTGGTTCTAGTTTTGCCTAGCCTATGCCCATTCTGTATATACACACATGCATGAACACATGTATATACACACACACATGCACACACCTGTCAATATGAGACAAGATAATAGTCATGGTTTGCTGATGATTAAACCCTACAGAGTCAAAATATTCTAAACTTCCCATTCTGTCCTAGGAAGCTTCACTTACCTAAATCCTAAGCACTTATTTTATTTATATGCCAATTAATCTATCTTATTCATCCTCTCCAATCACACTGGCCTTTGCCACAGGAAGCACAGACGATATCTGGGCCTCAGAAATCTTCCTATAGAACTCTTTGGCCATTGATCACCTGCAGCTTGCTCCTTCACTTTATTAGGACCTTTCATCAAATGTCCTCTCATCAATAAGCTCCTTTATGACTGCAGTTAAAGGAAACAAATGTATATCTTTACTATATTCCCAAGCCCAACTTTATTTTTAATTCCTGATCACCATACAATCAGGATACAATGTGCAAATATAAATAAACATGCAAAACCTGTTACTAAAAAGATAAGATACTTTTGGACTAGGAAGTCACATACTAAAAAAAAGAGACAAAGAATTATAATAAAATTCAAAGGAAATAGGTGAAATAAGTCATTTCCAGTGAATATAAATCAGAAGAAGCTTTATTAGAAGATAACATGTAAGATGGACTTTGACACATGTATGTGGTTTATCTGGTCTCAGGCAAAATCTGAAAGCCATTTAGACACAAGCAATGGAACTGATTGCAAACATGATGAGATAAATATCATATGTCCATTTTCTAAGGGACTCGATTCTATTATCAGAAGACAGGTTTACATAGGAATCATAAGGTTGAAAAAAGACAAGGTGAGAGTCCTTGGATTACCAAACTACTCTTCTAGTTTGAATATAGGGATCAAGGAGCAAACAAGAATTTTCTTTGATTTACTGAAGTGTGAGGTCTATCATCTGAGAGCCTAGTAAATAATTTTTAATAGAGCATTTCAGATCATTAAGAGAAAATTTAGATGTACAAGTGTTTTGAGGCTGATAATCCCTAGTTTGGGGATTTTTCCCACATTACTTTTTCCCAGGAATAGGGTTGTTTCAGGATCTAAGGTGGTCTAGACACAGAGATGGAGGCTCTGTGTTGTAGTGTTTATAGGATAAGCTATAGACTGAATTTCACTCCCAAGTTTGTATGCTGAGTTCCTGACCTACCTATATGGTATGAGGACTGTGGGCCTTTTAAACAGCATATCTGCCTACAGCCTTGCTGCCCTCTTACAGTACATCTCCAATGAGCATGCTTTCCAAAATTAGTTCATCATCTCTGAAATGCTATTCATACCAGTGA